ATCATTAGGATTATTATTATTATTACTTTCAGTGCCATTATCATTTTCTTGTTGTCAATATTACCATTACCGTCAAAATCACTATGATGAACTCTCCCTTGAGCTGCCTTAACCTGCCAAGGCAGCGCAGAGGCCGCCAGCCACGCCCCTCAGTCGCCCTTCCTCCCACAGGAGCGCCTCGAGGCCATCAGCGAGGAGCTGAGACACATGAGCGAGCGCGCCGAGGAGGTCAGGACTTCGCTCACCTCGGGCAGCGGCGACGTGTCGGCGCTCACCTCCCAGATGGACGCCCTCCAGACGCGCCACGCGCAGCTCACCCTCGAACAGAACGAGCTCCTCAAGGCCCAGCGCAAGTGAGTCCTCCTTGGTGATGTGTTGGTTGAGAGGAGCACATGTGGAGGAAGATGTTGCCGTGGTGGTGGTGGCGGCACACGGGGTGCCATGGGGAGAAGGACGCCCCACTGGATCCAGGCGGGATGCCACAGTGCCTCCGGATCTCTGTGGCTCGCCTCGCCTCGTGTGCCAGGGAATGGCTTGCAAATGTGGATGATGTGCAAAAGAGATATAGGCTAAGACTTGTTTCTGCTTCTTTGCTTTATCACGGCGCAGATGCGATTCTCTTGCCCCGAACTGTGCCAAACCTAATGTTTAATGTTCTTGTTCCTTTGCCAAATGAGTACAAATCATTATCATTACATTGATACTGCATTATTTACATCATTGTCACATCTGTCACATTTCATGTATCAAGCGAACAGAAAGATTTTCTGTCAGAGCGCGGACACGTTTGCCTGCAGTATATCGCATCATGAAAAAATGTTGTTACTTGTATGATGTACATATATTTATTACCCACAACGTTTGCAATTAATGTTCAGGGAAAAGTGTAATTGAATAAATAGGAAATAGAACGAATATGAAGATGCCTAAAAAAAGCAAAGCTTGGTTGGCTAACGCACCTTAAGAACGGAGGCACCGAGCTTGGGAAGCAAGGTCGGCACTCTGCTCTTAAGCCAGCCAAGCCCCTTCTACCTCAGGCTCTTCCACTGTGGAGCGTGGCCTCTGTGGTGGCCGCCGCAGCGCCGAATAGTGTAGTGGAAATCCTCAATAGGTTTAAGTGATTTTTTGGGTTTTGTAATTGTACCTTTTATTTATTCATTCATTGTGATATCCAGGTTGTTTTATTGTTATCAGTAATTTCATTGGCATTAATTCCATGTTCGCAGTATAGAAATACCTCCATTTTTTGTTTATGGATTTACCGACTGGTATTATATTATAAACAAATAAATATACTTGTAATTTAAAAGGCTTTGTTTTCAATTAGCAAAAAATCTGCTGGGCTTGACCCTTCATCCTCCCCCCTCCCCACTCCCCCACTGGCCCCGCCCGCTGTGCAGCGCAAACTCGCTACACAGCAGTGCTTTTCCAGGCACCTCGCGAACCCTCCAGTGTGTCACGGTTTTTGTAATGATAAAGAACCATATTTGCATAAACTATTATATTTTACCCACACGGTAGATACATTTCCGGCTATAAATGTCCAAATTCACATAAACGTAAATTGGACGAAAATAGAATCGAGTATGAATGTAACTTGTAACTTTCTTGGGTAAACTCGTGTCTTCCAAAATATTTCTTTAGCGAACTTTTTTTGTGTGGCTGGGGTGGGGGGGGGCAAGCAAGGGAAGTTGACAATGAGTTCAAAATACGACATGTTTACCGAACAAATCTGCTGGTTTAGGAGGTTAGATGAACTTAAAAGTCTAGTGATTAAGTCGATTTATACGCAGCGAGCAAGAGTTCTGCGAGGGTGCTTCGTCTGAGAAGTTAGTTCTTAAACTTAAAGTTAGAGTTCACCGCTACATGGTTTACTTACGAGACTCGCTACATAAGTTAGAGTTAGATTCGTGTAGGTGCGCACACGGAGGGATCGACGCACAGTACATGTGCACAAAAGCTTGCAAGTCCAAGCGTACATGTTCTCACAGATATGCTTATGCAAACATACGGTCATTGAGGGCCAGTTACGGAGATCTGATTGCATGAAATGGACTGATAAGCAGTTTGGGCAGTTGCATGCAAGCAAAAGGAACCAAACGATGAAGACGGCCTCGGCCCCGCGAAGGGCGCCGTCGGTTCGGCCTCCGCGGGGCGCAGGGGGTGGCGCGGCGTCGTTGGTGCTGCAAGGCTGACGAGAGCCTGGGCTGCTGACGCGGCAGAGGATTTTCAACAATCGCCAGTTATTGTTTGTCCGGAGTCAGGAGTGGCAGTCTTTGGGCGCTCGCTATTTGGCGTTTCCATCAGACTCAGGCACACGTGCACGCCCGTGCGGACACACATATATATGATACTTACGTATATAGTATATATATATATATATATATATATATATATATATATATATATATATATATATATATATATATATATATATATGTATATATATATATGTATATATATATATATATATATATATTATATATATATATATATATAT